AAATTCTGGAACCAATCCATTTTGTAGTCGATCCTCTCTGACCCACCCTGCATGGTGCCCGAGAGGGGCGATGATTCTGAGCAGCACAAGCAGCAAAAACGGGAAGGAAACCCGCAGGAGGGGGCGGAATGGGGAGGGGGGGAAACAATATTCTACACGGCACAACACACCCGAGATGGCCGCGCGCAAAGCGCGCGACCCACCTCCGAAGAGGGTGCCCGTGCCTGCGCGAATTCACATGCAGCCGGCCCATACAGCCTCAGGCCGGAGCCCGAGATAAGCGGCGGCTCACGTGGCCCGGAACAGCCACTTTTGCATGGGGCGCGGAGGGCGTGGAGGGTTTCCTTGGTTCCGGCCGGTGAGGCTGGGCCGCACAGAGCTGTCGCGACTGCCATACTCTACTATGCAAGCGTGGCGTGGCGGAGGTGAGTTGTGCCCTCCCCCCAAAAAACACGAGTTTTGAATTCACCTCCATGTTGGTGCACGAAGCCGCCTGGCGAGGAGAACAAGTCGCAACGCCGCAATGCCCCGGCCATCAAGCAGAGCTCGAAGCAGCCACGGCGCGCACCGGAATCGCGCCAGCCACCACGACGCTGCGCACGCACTGGTCCATGGACTGGCCCCGGGAGTCAAGCGCGCATTGGGGATACCAAAAGTACCGACACCGCAAATCCCCGGACCTCTCCGCTGGTGTGTTCTGGCCAGGATTTCGAAGCGAACATGCAGCGGTGGCGACGAAGGCTCCCAGGGAGGCCCACGAAAAGGAGAAAACGGGCGAAGGGTAGCGGTATGGGTACCTCATCCGCCTCTGATGCGTGGCAAACTCAGGCAGACGGCGGCGCGGCAGACGGAGCTTTCGCGAATTCACTGCGCGGCTGGCACCCGCTCCACCTCGAACCACGTCCCGTCTCAGATACTTCAGACATCTCGACAGGCATCGGATCACGAGCGGGTGTAGCCAACAATTACCCAACTGAGGCGGTTCAAGATGCACAAAGAACATCCAGGATGCACAAGAACATCCAACACTTTTTTCCGTCAGCGGCGAGGCGGCGAACTCCGCTCCAGCGAGAAGCTAAAAAAGGGTACCAACTAGCGAATTGCCCAGCGGGCAAAGAAGGGGGGGGGCGGCCGAGAGGAAGAAGGGAGGCTCAGATGTCGAAGAATTCGACGATGAGCAGCCCGGGGGGGGGGGGGGGCAACAGCGGCCACGCGCGCAGGGCCAGAGCGTGTGGGCGGCCATGGCAAACCACGGTGGCAAGGGTGTCGGCAGGGCGGATGCCAGCAGCTGGAGCTGGCGGGCGGGCGCAGTGGGACACCACGGACGGCAGAGGTACCGCGGCGCGCCGAGGAGTAGGCACAGCACTGAGCCGTGCGGAGGCGGGAGCAACGCAGCCATATGGCTGGCAGTGACAAGGGTATTACGGCGTGACCGCCCAAGGGCGCGCCAGGTGGCCAGGGGGCCCGGAGAGGTGGGGCGGGAGGCGGCGGGCGAAGCGTCCCAGGCGCTCGCAGACGACGGGGTGGAACAGCAACGCAACGGGAGAAGGAAACGCGGGGCAGCAGAACATCCAACACACGCGAAACACACCAGTTAACCGATCCCGATCCCCACGGGCGTGGCCTGGGCACCAGTGGCCGATTTACCTCCCTTGATGGGGATATGGGCTGTTCCCTTCGAGCTTCGAGGCGCATATCCCCAGCTGGGGTGGTGGGGTGATGGGGATGGGGATGGGGGTGGGGATGGAAACCGGTTAAACGATACTGGGTGCCTTCCCCGAACGGACCTCGATCTTATACCTCGGTGGGACTCTTGGCGCCCCCACGGCTGGCGCCGAGCGTCCGACGAGCAACGCCACGACCTGGCAGCGAGGACGGGCGTCGGGGATGAGGGGGGGAAGGAGGAGGAGGAGGAGGAGGAGGAGGAGGAGGAGGAGGAGGAGGAGGAGGAGGAGGAGGAGGAGGAGGAGGAGGAGGAGGAGGCGAGCCTACTCCGAGTCCCACCAGCCCTTTGGGCGTGAGTGGTTTAGGGAGCTCTCTCTGTTCTCAACCCCCCTTCTTCCCCTTCGGGGAGGGGTTTACCCCTCCCCCTACCCCCTCCCCCTGGGCCTGGAGAGGGCGGCCCGCGGGTCGTTGGAGGGGTCTTCTTCGACTCCTGGGAGGGCTAAAAAACGACACCCTTCACGAGGATTCTGGCCCCGACGGGGGGAGGGAGAAAAAACCCTCTCCTCTTCTGTGAAGCAAAAATCATTGATTTTACTACGGTTTTGGCCCCATTTTTGCCCTTCTGAGGGGGCAGCGCTCATTAAAGCTCCCCTCTTCTTTGATCGATTCCCTCCAAGATGGCCCCAAGAAGCGCCCAGGAGGCACCAAGAGGCCCCAAGATGGCCCCAAGAGGCCCCCAGGAGGCCCCCAAGAGGCCTCCAAGAGGCCCCCAAGATGCCCCCAAGAGGCCCCCAAGAGGCCCCAAGAGGCTCCCCCGAGGCACCCAAGACGCTCCTGGAAGCCCCTGGGGCCGCCAAGAGGCCCCCAAGACGCCCCAAACGGCCTCCAAGAGGCTCCCAAGAGGCCCGAAGAGGCTCCCCCAAGGCACCCAAGACGCTCCTAGAAGCCCCTGGGGCCGCCAAGAGGCCCCCAAGACGCCCCAAAAGGGGACGAGGTGCCCGAACGCCTCACGCCACGAGGAGCCCGAACGACTCACACCAGGACGAGGGGCCCGAACGACTCACACCACGAAGAGCCCGAACGACTCACACCAGAAGGAGGGGCCCGAACGACTCACACCAGGACGAGGCGCCCGAACGACTCACACCACGAGGAGCCCGAACGACTCACACCACGACGAGGGCCCCGAACGACTCACACCACGAGGAGCCCGAACGAGTCACACCAGGAGGAGGGGCCCGAACGACTCACACCAGGACGAGGGGCCCGAACAACTCACACCACGAGAAGCCCGAACGACTCACACCAGGACGAAGAGCCCAAACGACTCACACCACGAAGAGCCCGAACGACTCACACCAGGAAGAAGGGCCCGAACGACTCACACCAGGACGAGAGCTTTCTCTCCCTCCTCCTTCGCCTCGACCATCTCCCGCTCCCCCCACAAGGAGGATGTACAAGGAGGCGGGAGGAAGGAGGAACAGGGGAGATATGCGGGGGCCAGCGGACACACGCCTGAAAATCACGACTGTCGGCATGCTTCGCAAGAGTTGCTGTTGTGAGCTGGGCTGGTGGGGATACGCGAAGCGTAAAGAATTTCTTGACAAGCGTCGGGGGGGCGTCACCCCCGCCGACAGCCCCACATCGACTCCCGTCGCGGGCAGCCACGGCGCGCCGAAGGCGCTCCGACCCCCCTCGCGGCGCGACGACGAGGCGAGGTTGACCCCCGTCGGGGGGGTACTCCCCCACGCTTATTAAGAAACCCTGAATAGGGCCAGTCCCCGCGTTCGGCCCGAGGCACCTCCAGCGCAAGCAGCGCGCAGCTTGCTCCCGCAAACTCCATGCGGGTGGCTTTCTGTGGTCTAAGTGGGCATGGGCGGGCTGACGGCGCGCAGAGGGTTTTTTTGGGTGGGTTCTCGTCATTCCAGCCACAGGCAGAGTTGAACTGTTTGCTTGAGGACCTTCTTCTGGGCCCTCTGATCTTTGGGGGGAGGGGCTCCTCAGGAGGAGGCTGCTGCTGAGGAGGCGCCAGCCCCGCGTCTGCAGACAAAGCACGCGCCTTCCAAGAAGCAGGGGTGAGTCAATCTGACTCGCTTATCGTTACTTCTCCACCCTCCTCCAAGCTCCTCCTCCTCCTCCTCCTCCTCCTCCTCCACCCTCCTCCTCCCTCCTCCACCCTCCTCCTCCCTCCTCCACCCTCCTCCTCCTCCTCCTCCTCCTCCTCCTCCTCCTCCTCCTCCTCCTCCTCTTTTGCGTTCTCCCTCGTCGTATGGGGGGCCTCTCAGAGGCCCACCCGCCCACCCTGCCCCCTCCGCGAATGGCCGAGCGAGGCGGGGCTCGCGGGGCCCGGGGCTCCGGCTCTGTCCTCACGGCGCCCCCCCCCCGCGATTTGGACGCCCGAAATGGGTACGGAAAAAATGGGTACAATGCCCAACAACAAATGTTGCCCCAAACCAACAGCGGCCGCTGTTGGGCAGGCGGCCTTCTGCCTCGAATGGACACAGGTCGCGGCGGCGCGGACAGCGAGTCCTGTTCAAAATGAACAGGAACTGCTGTTCGGCATTGTACCCATTCTTTCCGTACCCATTTCGGGCGTCCAGACGCGAGGCCTGCGGCGCGCGCCGCTGTCCCGCCAGGTGCCGGGCGGGCGCGGGGAATCCCAACCTCGATCCGCGCACCATCGCTTCGGACGTCCGCTCCCCGTGCACTTGTTTGCGGCTCCGTGCGCGTCTTCTTTCCGCAGGAGGACCCAGGAGGCTCTCCGATGGTCCTTGCCGAAAGAACACCAAAAAACCACGCACGCCCGAGCGATGACAAGTGGCCACGGTGGGAGAACGCGAGGCCAGGGTCCACCGAGACTCCGAGCAAGGCCTTCGCTGCGACGACGGGGGCACCTGCCGAGCCAGGGCCAGGGGCTGCTGGGCAGTGCCATGGCGGCAGCTTTTTTTCCGCGGCGCCGATGCAGGCTCGTCTGGGACAGCGGCGCGGAGCGCGCGCCCGTCAATCGCCGCGAGCGCGGTGCACCTGCCGGGGAGCGCGCGTCCATCAGCGAGATGCGGCCATCGCCGCGAGCGCGGTGCACCTGCCGGAAAAACACAACGGCTGCCCGTGGCGAGCGGCAGCTGCGTGCGAATGAGCGCCGGCTGCGGCAAAAAAAACTCCCTGCGGCAGCGAGGCGGGCTCCGCGGGGGCCAGGAGCCGGGGCGCTCGGGGCCGCAGCCACCACGACTCTGCCCGCGCACGTCTCCCACGAAGGGACACCTGGGAGGGGGCGGGAGGAGGCAGAGGGGAGGGGCGAGGGAGGACGAGGACGTCGCGCGATCGCAGGCTGGTTCCTTGCGCTTCTTGGCCCCGATGTTGTGCGCGATCTCCACCGCGTATTTCTCGTTGTGCATCAGCAGCATCTCCTCGCCCAGCGTCAGTGCGTCCCTTCTCATTCTCCCCTCTCCTCCTCTCCCCTCCCCCCCTCAATCCCTCCCTCCCTCCTCCCTCCCTCGCTCTGTCCAAGCTTCCCTCCCCCCTCTCCGCTCCCTCCCCCCCTCTCCTTGGGCTGCCCTCGATTCTATCAGTGCCCTCCCTCCTCTCCATCCATCTCATCCCTCACTATGTCCTTCCCTCCATCCCCACTCTGTCCCTCGCTGTTGGAAGGCCTCGTCGCCGTCGAATGCGCCGCTTGCTCTGCAGCACGCGCGCCTATGTATGCACCCTGGCTCGCGCGGATCATACCGCTGAGCCGTGGAGTCAAGAGGCGTGTGTGGACCTTACCGCCCGCAGGCAAGGGAAAACATAATTTCTTGCCATTGCCATGAACTGGCGAGGGCATAAAAATTCTCGGGGTATTTGCGAGGGTATTAAACAACTCTAGGCTTTGTTACACCCTCGAGGGGGGTACTTATACCCTCGAGAGGTTCTTTCTATACCCTCGGGGGGGGTGATACCCTCACAATTCTGATGTATCATGATGCACTGGAAGCTGCTCATAGAGTCGGGGTGCCACAACAGCTGCACCTTCACCATGTTCAGCTGCGGGCTTCTCAGGGCAGTCGCGAGCCTGCGACGTACCAGGAGAAGGAAGACTCCTCGAGTCCTTGACAGACAGAGTTCGAAAATGGGCCCGACGCGGGCAATGGCGGCTGCTAGTGGTCTGCACTCCGGGTGAGGGAGCCGTTGGGAATGAGAAGGCTCCAGAGCCGAAATGGAAGCAGTGGCGCCTGCAGTTGCTGGGCTGGACAGAGGCGGCCCAGAGATCGTCCCTCGCGGAAGCTACCAGTCAGAAGGAAGCCAGCAGGCCGGGAATCTGAGCTCAGAGAGCCACAGGACCGTCCGCAAGCCCAGTGCCCCGTTCTTCGAGGCTGTGACGAGGGTCTCCTCCTCCGTCTAGAGGCCTCCTCGATGGGGTCCGCGTAGATGGGGGTCCGAGGATTGCACCAAATCGCCTATGCATCGGCAATGCATCAGCAGTGCATCGGCGACGTCGGCGACGCATCGGCGCTGTCGGCGATGGAGGTAGTCGGGCCCCACATCGAGCCGCATCGCCGATGAATTGGCAATGCGGCGCGATCCTTCGACCACATCTACTCCGACCCCATCTGTGAGGCCCAGATCCGTCCCCCCCTCCCCTCTGGTTGACCCAAAATTGGGTCCAGCGAAAAAGGGGTGGTGCAATAGATTTGCATTAGATTTGTGGGGTTGCAATAGATTGGGGGTGTGCAGTACATTCTGGTGCGCAAATGTATTGCTGGGTCTTCGCTTGCCATTCATTCGTCGCAATACAGTGCAATACAATTCTCTGGCGCAATACAACTGCCCCAAATCTATTGCACCTCCCCATTTCAGCCGGGAGCTCCTTTTGGGTCACGAAGATCCCCTGGGCCCAGACCAAGTTGCAATGATCAGGGGCCCTGCCAGGGAAGACGGTGAAGGACGGCGGCGAGGGCCCCGGGCACGGTGGCGGGCTGGGCCGAAGAACACTAGATCCGCTGCCCCCTGTTGGCTTGCCAGAGGTGCCCGGCGTGCTTGACGCTACCGATTTTGGTTTTGGCTCTTTTCCAAAAGAACTCCCCCTGGGGCTCCGGCCCAGCCCGCCGGCCACCCGGAAGGGCGCACAAGGCCCGGAAACGACATCAGCGTCCACACAAAAATCTTCGGGTCAATGCCTTTACCGCTGCAAGATGGCCCTAGACGGCCTCCAAGACGGATCATATGGCCCGAGATGGCCTCCAAGTTCGCCCAGTGTGGTCCAAGACGGCCTCCACGACGGCCCAGGAGAATCCACGATGCCTCCAAGACGGCCCAAGAAGCCTCCAAAACGGCCCAAGAGGCCCCCAAGAGGCCTCCAAGACGGCCCAAAAGCCTCCAAGAGGTCCTCCCGGAAGGGCCGAAGACGCCAGAATCATTGATTTTCCATCGGTTTCTAAAGGATTTTGGCATTTGCTTCTCTTCGGTCCTCCGACGGCCCCAGAAGGCCCAAGAGCCCCCCAAAATCGCCCCAAGATCGCCCAAGAGGCCTCCAAGAGGGCCCCAGAACGGCCCAAGAGGCCCCAAAGACGGTCCCAAGAGGGCCCCAAGACGGCCCACGAGGCCCCTGGGACGCCCAAGATGGCCTCCACGATGGCCCTGGAGCACCCCAAGAGGGCCCCAAGGCGGCCCAAGAGGCCCCCCAAACGGCTTCCGACGGCGTCAGACGGCCCGATTGGCCGCCAAGACGGCCCAAGATGGCTCCAAGATGGCCCAAGACAGCCCAAGAGGCCCTCAAGAGGTTTCCTAGACGGGCCAAGAGACCTCCAAGAGGGCCTCCATGAAGGCCCGAAGAGGCCCAAATCATTGATGTGCCTTCGGTTTTTGAAGGATTTTGGCATGTGCTTCTGTTCAGCCTTCGGACGGCCCGAGACGGCCCACGAGCCCCAAAAGGTCGCCCCAAGATCGCCCAAGAGGCCTCCAAGAGGTCCCCAGAACGGCCCAAGAGGCCTCCAAGACGGTCCAAAGAGAGCCCCAAGACGGCCCACGAGGCCTCCAAGACGCCCAAGATGGCTTCCACGACGGCCCCTTAGACGGCCCTACGAAGGCCCAAAGACGGCCCACGAGACCTCCAAGACGCCCAGAATGACTTCCCAGAAAGCCCTGAAGCGCCCCAAGAGGAACCCAAGTCTGCCCAGAGAGACACCGAAGACGGCTTCCGACGGCGTCAAACGGGCCAGGAACGCCCTCAGACTGCAAAAGAGCCTCCCGAGAAGCCTCTAAGGGCCCCCGAGCCCCCAGGAGGCATCCAAGAGGCCTCAAGAGGCCCCAAGAAACTACCAGGGGGCACAAAGAGTATTATCATTAATATCAGTATGCTTATTCGTAGCATTATTTGTCTTGATAATCCTCCTCCTCGAATTCCCCGAAAGGTTTTCACAGCGGCTGGAGGAACACATGGTCCGATAGCTTTGCAGAGCTCTGGCCACGACGTTCGGCCACATGGGCGATTCCGAAGGCAAGGGGGGCGGTGATTCGCCGCAAGCGTGTTAGAACATTGTGCTCTGTGGATCCGTACTTCCACACACTGCTGCAAACTACCCGGATGATAACATCAATGCTCACATGCAAAGCAACCCCGTCCAGATCGGACAGATTCTGACAGCGGAACTTGTAGAATCCATTCCTGAGGCGGAACTTCGTCTTCTTGTCAGAGCCATACCTGGAACCCAAAAGCAGCATGGGCCGATCGAGTGGCAAAGTCGGACCAAGTCCATGCATCTTCGCAGAGCACGTGGCACATATTAAAGAAGGCAAGCTGAGCACCACAGCGCACTTGCAGGCTGTCATCCGTCGCACGTTTCGCGCATCACAAGACTGGCGTTGCGGCATAACCAATCGTCACAGTCACGCCTCTTCTGCGGCGGATACACCCAACAAGGAGGGAAGGAGCATGTTGATGTTGAGTGCGGGGAATTGGAACTCCGAATACTGGGCATTATGACGATCGCCCCCCTTCTCAATGCAACTATCGGATTGTTCTCTCTTCCCTCCTACATCAACGCACTGGGAAAACATCTCTTGTAGCCGCGGTGACAGGCCTCCGACGCACTCCTCCTTACCTTCCTGCCACCCTCCCTCATCGTCAACCTCCTCGTCGTCG